TCTTGGTCAGCCGCCTCCTCCTTGTCCTGCTCCCTCCTTAGAGTGTCCTCCGCCTGTCGAGTCGCTGTCACAGCTACCGCCTGCCTCGCCACTCCCTGGTCCTTTTCCCTACACTGGTCCGACAGGCGGTCTTACGGAGCGTCGTGAGCCTGAGTCTCGTCCTGTGTCGCCTGAGTCTCGGTCTGCCTCACCTGTTCGTGCTGCTCGCACTGGTCGTCGTGTCCCGCGTCAGCGTCCTCCTGCTGTCCCAGGCACTCACCAGATGGCGCTTCGTCCTTCCACTGCTCCACAGCGTGTCCCGCTGCCTTCTCCTCCTGCGTCCTCTCTTCCTGCCCTTGCCGACCCGGAGTCTGACTCTCTTCGTGCTGCTAGTCCTACTGTCACGCGTCTCCTGGCCACTGCTGTCGCTGACCCTTCCTTTGAGTCAGCTGCTGCGTCTGCCTTAGTTGCTGAGCTTGTCGACTTTGCTGCTCACTGTCGTCTAGACTACGCTGCGAGTTTTGTTGCTGAGTCTAAGTCTGAGTCTGTCTGTCCTCCGTCCTGCGGGGGTGAGTGTGCTCTTGGCACGGACGTCCTTGAGGACAGGCAGGAGGAGTTTGAGTGCTTTGCCGCCGCTGTACCTCATCTCGTGTCCATGCTGATTGCACCTGAGGGGGACCCGGATGCACCAGACATCCCGACCCCGCGCTCTTACGCTGAGGCGATTGCGGGTGAGTACTCCTCTCAGTGGCAGTCAGCCATGGACGCAGAGATGGCATCCTGGAAGTCCACTGGCACTTACGTCGACGAGGTTCCCCCTCCTGGGGCGAACATCGTCAGTGGCATGTGGATTTTCAGGGTAAAGCGGCCGCCAGGTTCTCCGCCTGTCTTCAAGGCTCGTTACGTTGCTCGAGGCTTCAGTCAGCGAGAGGGAGTAGACTTCTTCCAGACCTTCTCCCCCACCCCGAAGATGACCACTCTTCGGGTGCTGCTGCACGTTGCCGCTCAGCGTGACTACGAGCTTCACTCTCTTGACTTGAGCACAGCTTTCTTGCAGGGCAGCCTGCACGAGGAGATCTGGCTGCGCCGCCCTCCTGGCTTCACTGGGTCGTTCCCTCCTGGTACCCAGTGGAGCCTCTGGCGGCCGGTCTACGGTCTCCGCCAGGCGCCACGTGAGTGGCACGACACACTGAGGACTACACTTGCGGCTCATGGGTTCGCGCCTTCTACTGCTGACCCGTCGCTGTTTCTGCGCACCGACACTTCGCTGCCGCCGTTCTACATCCTCGTGTACGTCGACGACTTGGTCTTTGCCACTGCTGACACTGAGGCTCTCGCCCTGGTGAAGTCGGAGCTGCAGAAGAGACACACGTGCACAGACCTGGGTGAACTGCGCAGCTACCTTGGCTTGCAGATCACCCGGGACAGAGCACGCCGCACCATCACACTGACTCAGTCACACATGGTGCAGCAGGTCCTTCAGCGCTTCGGCTTCACCTGGTACTCGGCACAGGCCACTCCTCTGGCTACAGGTCACTCGCTCTCAGCTCCACCTTCGGACGAGTCCGTAGAGCCGAGTGGTCCTTACCCAGAGCTAGTTGGCTGTCTCATGTACCTGATGACTTGCACTCGTCCTGACCTCGCGTACCCTCTTGGCCTTCTGGCTCGCTACGTGGCTCCTGGTCGGCACCGAAAGGTGCACATGGATGCTGCTAAGAGGGTACTGCGCTACTTGTGCAGTACATCAGGCATGTGACTCGTGCTTGGAGGGAGGAGCTCAGTTAACCTCACTGGGCACTCAGACGCTTCTTGGGTTGACGACCAGGCTACTCAGCGGTCGTCACAGGGTTACACCTTCAGCCTTGGCTCTGGTTCAGCTTCTTGGCGTTCTACACGCTCGTCTTCAGTTCTCAGCTCCAGTTGTGAGGCTGAGATCTACGCCACAGCCATGGCTGCACAGGAGTTACGCTAGCTCACCTACCTGCTGACTGACTTGGGAGAGCGGCCTCGTTCTCCTCCAGTGCTGTACGTCGACAACAAGGCTACCATTGCCTTGTGTGAGGAGCACAGACTGGAGCACAGAACGAAGCACATCGCTCTGCGTTACTTCCTAGCTCGAGAGTTGCAGCAGCGTGGTCAGCTTCGTCTGCGTTACGTGGCCACTCGGGCCAACACTGCTGATACATTCACCAAGGCACTTCAGTCTGGTGAACATAAGCGTTTCTGCACTATGCTAGGGCTTGTGCCCACTTTTCCTCACTTGCTGTAGGCTTTGCTTGTACTGTGATCTATATATACATATATATACCTGCATGCTTGCTTTGCTAGGTAGAGATCACTGTGCTGTTTGTGTTGCATATATGGCTCTGCATGTGGACTGGCCTTGTGGCCCTTTGCTTGTGCTCAGAGTGTGTGGTGACGTAGTGATCCACCTTGAGCTTGCTTTGCCTTTCTTGATTGGTCTTGTGACCCCTTGCTCTCCCCCACTTTGCCTATGGGGGTGTGTCAAATGTTATATCTGCTACAGTTTGTTTAGGCTGTAGTGGGGTAGTTACTATGGGGTACAGTAAGTTTAGGGTTTCCTACTTGTACCCAACTCTTTCCTAGTGCAATCACTCTTGTTCATTCTGACATGGCGCGGCTCCTCTACGCAACACTGGCAGGCGGTCGACCATGCTGTGCTGGCGGTCGACCAGGCTAGCTGCAGAGTTGCTAGGTGCCTGATGTAGTCATTCTTGTGATTGTCATTGTGATCATTTATGTAATTCAATCTTTTCTAGTGGAAACTCTTGCCGATGTCTCCCGTGATTGTGCAAGTGCTAAGGAACTAAGCAAAGTACGATCACTCCTAGAGTTCGTGCCAACACCCCGTACTCTAGCTCACAACTATTGTAGAGTGACTCTCTGCATTTTCTAAACAAATCTTTGTCCATTTATACATATATATAAAAAAACCCAAGCATTTTTTATAATGTATAAGATAAGACATGTATGCCTTAAATCCGGACGATTATGGTACCGTAAGACCCCTTTATCCTTATGAAGAATGTAGGGCTTGCTAGTTTATATAATAGAATCGAAGCAGGTTCGGAGAGAGAACACAATTCTCCCCTTCCGATGAAACCCCGTGGGTATCGCGCAGTCAACGTAGTTCATTTTTGTTAATTTCGCCACATTCAATGTGATGATTTAGGGCGTGTGCATACGGCCTCATATCAGGAAACTTCGTATCAAGAATGTACCGTTTTTACCCGGCTAACAGACCCGGGGGTCTAATCCTATACCGGGGGAAAAAAGGGGGGGGGGGGGGGGGGGGGGGGGGAGGGGTCTATTAACTGGGGGAGAATTTAATAGACCCGAGGTCTAATCCTACATCTTATTGTTTTATTCCAAGTCCTGTCAAACACTCTTTTACGATATCAAAGGTCACCATTCCGATATCGCGTCATGAGAAAATTGACCACGCGCTGACGCGAGACAGGCACGTGGTCAGTAATCCAGTCAGATTAGTAAATTACGCTACCCTGATATGATGTGTCTCGCTACAGTTTCGTGGAATTTGAGGTTTCTGCACTAGGGGGGTCTAATCCTGAATGCATTACAAAAAGGGGGGTCTAATACGAAATTGGAGATAGCATTAGACCCGCCCCCATTTAACGACCCGGGGGGCTATATTTTTGGGGGGTCCATTAGCCGGGTAAATACGGTACTTTTGCCTAGTAAAACTACAGAGAGGTTTTGGGTTTAGGGCAATTTTCAGTGTGAGCCTGATACGAGGTTCTTTTGATACGAGGTGTAAGAACACGCTCTTACCGTATACTGTCGAGTGGCGAGAGTGATGCCACCTGGTAACACCCGAGGGCGGACATTTGCGCCCTCACACATATTAGAGGTCATAAACTGTTACAATCCTGAACAGGACTTAGCAAAGGATAGTCTCAAGGTTGATCGCAGGTTCTTGTTGCAGCGGAAGTGTTGACATCAGGTCAGAGTGAATGTAAATGACTGGGATGATAATATCATATATACATCGAGTTTACATAGGAGATACAAAGGAATACGAAACGACCTAGACTAGCCATGTACTCTATGGGGTGCATTCCCTTATTACAGCGAATTCAAACCGTGCGGCGCGGGAACCCGCTCTTTTCATTTCAAATGTTTCTGCCTGCATCGGTCTTGGTCAGACGGTTGCTGGTGTCGCTTCGACTCTTCTGAATCCTCGACTCGTACTCGGTAGAGTCGGCTCCTGCAACATACAGGAATGCCTTCTCATTGAATTTCATATCGTAACAATAACTGGCTAGCCATGTACTCTGAAGGGGTACATTCCCTTTATGGCTAAATCTAGAAGTTGCGTTGATGATGTAAGAACAGTTTTCAATTTGAGTTCCGCTCCACTCCACTCCCATAGTGTTGCTCATGTCCCGGTGTAGCGGGAATCTTTGGAAATTGTACGGGATGCTGGTAGTCGTAACAACCATCACCAGGCCACTTAAAGCTAAAACATAAAGAGAGATGAAGAGGATGCGCAGAAGCTTCTTCTCAAACAGAAAATGCAAGGAGAGACAGGGCAGCAGCAGCAAAGAGGCTGAAAGCAGCAATTGTGGGCGTGGAAAGGCGGGAAGCAGGTTTGGGGGGAGGAGGGACAATAGGAGTCTGGGTGGAAGCAGATGGTGGCTGAGGCACTGGTGATGCCGGTGCTGCAGTTGATGCCGGTGCTGCAGTTGATGCCGGTGCTGCAGTTGATGCTGGTGCTGGAGTTGATGCCGGTGCTGCGGTCGATGCCGGTGCTGCTTCAGGTGCTGGAGCTGCTGTAAGTGCTGCCCCTGGAGCATGGGACAAAGCGCATGCAGTGACAGACAGTTGCTCTACTACCAGCACACATAAGCTGCATACACATCCCTGGATCATGCATGTCATATTGACACACCCATGAACTCCACATATTCAGTATTGCACAGTATGTGGGTGCAAGCAAGCAAGCAAGCACCCACATGCACCAAGGCACGGCCACATACATTTGAGGGGCGTGCAGGAGGAGCAGAAGGAGGAGCAGAGGCGGCAGAAGGAGGAGGCATTGCTCTGCGGCACCACACACTCGCTGCCGTCTGCCGGGCAGGTCAGCCCCGAGCCAGAGGTGTTGCTGGGGGTGCGGGGGGGAAGGGGGGGAAGTGGAGAATGGAGGGGGCCAGAGAGGTGAGGAGACCAGTGGAGAGGGGAGAAGAGGGCAAAACGATGGGTGATGTGCCACCTGCACTAGAGAGGCATGGATGCATGGAGGCACGGGAGCATGGGAGCATGGATGCATAGGTGCATCCATGTGTGCATGTGTGCATGGGAGCATGGGAGCATGGGTGCATGGGAGCATGAGTGCATGGGAGCATGGGTGCATGGGAGCATGGGAGCATGGATGAATAGGTGCATCCATCTGTGCATGGGTGCATGGGTGCATGTGTGCATGGGAGCATGGGAGCATGGGTGCATGGGAGCATGGGAGCATGGGAGCATGGGTGCATGGGAGCATGGGAGCATGGGAGCATGGGAGCATGTGGTGCATGGGAGCATGGGAGCATGGGTGCATGGGAGCATGGGAGCATGGATGAATAGGTGCATCCATCTGTGCATGGGTGCATGGGTGCATGTGTGCATGGGAGCATGGGAGCATGGGTGCATGGGAGCATGGGTGCATGGGAGCATGGGTGCATGGGAGCATGGGAGCATGGGAGCATGGGTGCATGGGAGCATGGGAGCATGGGTGCATGGGAGCATGGGAGGATGGGAGCATGGATGCATAGGTGCATCCAAGTGTGCATGGGTGCATGGGTGCATGTGTGCATGGGAGCATGGGAGCATGGGTGCATGGGAGCATGGGAGCATGGGTGCATAGGTGCATCCATGTGTGCATGGGTGCATGGGTGCATGTGTGCATGGGAGCATGGGTGCATGGGTGCATGGGAGCATGGGTGCCTGGGAGCATGCATGCATGGGAGCATGGGTGCATGGGAGCATGGGTGCATGGGAGCATGGGTGCGGGACTCACAAGGAATAAAGGTTGTCCAAGACGCCAAAGACAGGAGATATGGGACCAGTCAAGTTGTTTCCTCCAAGGCCCCTGCCATTTCATTTCATGCCATCACATGCCATGCCAGTCAACATTACACCATGCCATGCCATGCCATTGCACATCATCCCATGCAAAGCCAAGCGACCCACACATGAGTACTTCAGCTAGCGGCTCGACGCGTCACAGTGCCTGCAAGCCGTGTACCCCACAGAGTTGCACAAGGTTATGGATAGCACGTGCATGTATCGCCCTTCCCAAGCCAAGCCTCCTTCCCCACCCCCCCTGCCTGGTTCATTACAGGGACTTCAGGAAGATGAGGCTGGTCATGGACTCCGGCAGAGGCCCGCTGAAGTTGTTGTTGCTGATGTCGCTGGTGAGGGGAGCGACGGTGGGAGGGGAGGGGAGGGGAGAGTGGCGGCAAGGATGCTTTTGCTTGGGTGGGTGGGTGTTTTTGCGTTGCGGCAAAATGGAGTTTGAACGGACAGAAACCATGCTTGGGTGGGTGGAACGTGAGGTTATAACAACTGACAGTACTCTCAAGAAAGATAGGGGCATGCAGAACCAGAAGCATGAAATACAGAAGACGGTAAGGAGGCAGAGGAGAGAGGCAAGAGCGCGTGGGGCACTCTGCTTTGCTCCACTTGGTCAAGTGAAGCCCACCCCCACAAGGCATTCAGGCTTGTCCAGTCCTGGCATGTGTGCTTACAAAGAGATGAGGTATTTGGACAGGTTGGTTGCAGGCAGGGAGCCCTCAAGCTGGTTGTGAGCGAGGGAGCTGGGGCGAGGAGTGGAGGGGGGGGGTGGTGGGAGGGGGATGAAGCAAGCACACATGGCAGCAGCAAGGGATGCGCGGCAGCAGCAAGGGATGCGCGGCAGCAGCAAGGGATGCACGGCAGCAGCAAGGGATGCACGGCAGCAGCAAGGGATGCGCGGCAGCAGCAAGGGATGCACGGCAGCAGCAAGGGATGCACGGCAGCAGCAAGGGATGCACGGCAGCAGCAAGGGATGCACGGCGAGGGTGGAAGTGAGTGGGCTTACAAGGACATTAGCCAAGGCAGGGTGAAGACGGCAGGAGACACAACTCCAGAGAATTGATTGTGAGAGATGTCACTGATGGGGTAGGGATGCGTTGGGAGAGGTTGGGGGGGGTGGGGGGTTGGGGGTTTGTTGGGGTGGGGGAGGAGGGGGAGGGAGAGGGGGCTATAAAACCAGCACTGTCAGCATAGAATACGTAAAAAACAAGATGGCCAAAGCTCTGAGTCAAAGGCATGCATGCATGCAAGCAGGAGGCATCTCGAAGGCATTGAACGGAACGGAAGGCTCACAAGCTGTTGACTGTTGTGAGCGTTGTGAGCTGTGGGGGCAGCGGGCCCGAGAAGTTGTTGGCTGATAGATTGCTGCGAGGAGAGGAGGCAGCACAGGCGGTTGAGTGTATCACATGAAACCGTTGCTTCCAGCCGAACGCAATTCAGAGTACCGAGGATGATTCTTGCTGGGTCAAGACATAGGAGATTCAAAAGAATTAAAGAAAGCAAGAAAAAAAGAGAAACGCTTCATAAACCGAAATTTGAAAACAAGATAGGAGAGGCATGTGTGACGGGAGAGTTCTATAGACTAGAGTGGGGCTGCATGGCGTGCAAGCTCCACGATTGTGTGAGACACGGCCTGCGATGAGCACGTGGGTGCGAGGTTGCGATGAGCGCGCAGGAGAGCTCTCAGAAGTGAGAGAGCATGCAGCAGGGGCAGGCATGCGTGTGTGCATACAGGAGGCTGTAGCGTGGTGCAGATAGCATGGCGGAGGGGAAGGGCCCCGTGAAGCTGTTGTTGGATATGTCGCTGCAGAGAGGAGGGAGCAGGAAAGGGAGGGGGAGTAGGGAGGCGAAGGAGGGTAGGGAGGAGAGAGAGGGCAGGCAGGGGAGGGCGGAGGGAGGGCAGGGGGGTCAGGAAGGAGGACAGGTAGGGAGGGGAGGGCAGGAAGGGTAAGGAAGAGGATGGGAAGGGAGGGTAGAGAGGGCAAGATGGGTAGGCTGCATGGAGAGGGAGAGAGGAGAGGAGTTGGGGGGGAAGGAGGAAGGTGGGGTGGATGTGAATGTGAGTGTGTGGTGTGCACTGTGGGACCAAAGTGAGGGAGCAAAGTGATGGAGAAGAGTGTGGGAGAAGCATCAAAGTGACGTTGGGTGGGGAGGGGAGGAGACGTGGCATACAGTTCGTAGGCGAGGCGTGCGAGGGAAGAAGGGAAGGCGCTTGAGAAGTTGCACGATCCGATTTAGCTGTGGGGCGGTCAGGGCAGGGCAGGGCAGGGCAGGGCAGGGCAGGGGGGTCAACACAGGTCGTGTGGCAGCGAGGAGGGTGAGGGGGGGACGCTTGCTGGGGCTCCCTGATGCCCCTCCCCAAACGGACAGCGCACGCAGGAACAAAAGGAAACGGCAAGGCCGAGCAGCAACGGAGACAGAGCAGTAGAGCAGAGCACGAGGCAAGTGGCACGGCACGGCACAAGGCAAGGAGGATGCTCGAATCACACTTGCAGGCGGGACACAACGCAACGCAACGCAACGGGGCGCAATGCAACGCCATGCAGCGTGGTGCTCACAGGGTGGTGATTCGGGTCATGCGTGCAAGCACGTCCAGGCCAGCGCCAGAGAGGGGGTTGTGGCTGATATCCCTGTGGGGGCAATGGGGCATGGGTGCATGGCAGGGGTGAGGCATGGACGTGGAAGGTATAAGCTGCTCTGCACATTTGCGATGGAGGTGGGAGAGGAAGGTGGGAGGCGGAGGTGGCATGGCATGGGTGGAATGGAATGGAATGCACGGGATGGGGTTACACATCGCTGATCACAGGAAGGTTTGCAAAGGATGGTGGGATGGGCCCTGACAGATCGTTGTAGCTCACATTCCTGCCGTGAGAGATTGTGGAGGGGGGGAGAGAAGGGGGGGAGAGAAGGGGGGAGAGAAGGGGGGAGAGAAGGGGGGAGAGAAGGGGAGGAGAGAAGGGGGGGAGAGAAGGGGGGGAGAGAAGGGGGGAGAGAAGGGGGGAGAGAAGGGGAGGAGAGAAGGGGGGGAGAGAAGGGGGGGAGAGAAGGGGGGAGAGAAGGGGGGGTGAGAAGGGGGGGAGAGAAGGGGGGGAGAGAAGGGGGGGAGAGAAGGGGGGGAGAGGACAAGGGGAGAGGAGAGGGGAGACGAAAGAAGAAGCCAGGATATAAGCGTGTGGGAGGGAGGTGTACGTGTGGAAGTGAGTTGGATATGGCGGGTATTTGGGGGTGTTGGGCGGTGCATCCGATCCGACCAACCCACACTTCATGATGCAAGATACGCACAGCCATGACTTGACGGCTGGGAATGGAGGTGGCACGAAGGTGGGAAATGGAGGTGGGAAATGGAGGTGGGAAATGGAGGTGGGAAATGGAGGTGGGAAATGTAGGTGGGAAATGGAGGTGGGAAATGGAGATTCCAGGTGGGTTGAAGGGACTCACACAACGAAGAGGCCTGCAAGGCCTGAGAATGACGCTGGGATGGGCCATGTAAAACGGTTGTGGCTCATCTGCCTGTCGGACGGGAGGGATGGAGTGGATCAGATGCCTGTGGGCTAATTTCGTCGCCTCCCATGCCTCCCATGCCTCCCATGCCTCCCATGCCTCCCATGCCTCCCATGCCTCCCATGCCTCCCATGCCTCCCATGCCCATGCATGTCACATGCCACAAGCGGCACTCACATCTCCTCCATGAGTGGCAGGGAGGCAAGAGGGGCAGAGAAGGGGCCTTCCAGGTCGTTGTGGCTCAGCACGCTGACCGCAGCAATGGGGCCAATGGGGGGCAACGCAACGCAAGGGCGCACAGCAGATGGGTTATTGGGGAGGGAGGGACGTCCATGCGAACGAACTGGGAAGGAACTCGTGTATGTGCGTGCCCGCTGTGACGGCAGCACGCAGGACGCATGCAGTGTTTGGATCGAATGGACAAGTGTGGAAGGATGGCACAGAGCACAGTCAGCAGCAGATTCAGGGATTCACCAGCAGCAAGGTTTACGTTTACAGCCAAGACAAGCAGGCATGCAGGGAGCCCAGGAGCACAGTCCCTATAGCCCAGTATCCACATGCCTTTCCTCTTCCCAGCCGACCTCTCCTCATGGTTTACTCACAGGGAAACCAGAGACGAGGGCAGCACAGGCAGGGAGCCAACCAGGGCGTTATTAGAGAGCACCCTGCAGGCAGGCAGGCAGGTAGGCAGGCGGGCAGGCAGGCAGGCAGGCAGGCAGGCAGGCAGGCAGGCAGACAGGCAGGCAGGCAGACAGGCAGGCAGACAGGCAGGCAGGCAGGCAGGCAGACAGGCAGGCAGGCAGCAGGCGCACAGCACAGAGAGCGAGGGAGAGATGCTGCACGGTTCAGGTTACAGAATACAAGGCACAGCGGCACTGTTGCTGCGAATCTGCGACATAGTAAGGGTAAGGCGCGAGCGAGTGTGGTGATGATGAGAAGGTGCTCGAGCAGCCATGAGAGGCGTACAGCTCTGAGAGGGCGGTGAGGGCTGAGATGGTGGCGAGGTAAGGCACGATCCGCTAATGAGACATGTGCTGAGGACTCAAGGAAGGAAGGCGTACAGGTCTGAGAGGGCGGTGAGGGCTGAGCTGGTGGCGGGGAGGGAGCCCGAGAAGCCGTTACCCGACGCCATCCTGCGACGGGGGGGAGAGTGGGGTGGGGTGTGCAGAGAGCAGAGCAGAGAACCAGGAGTTATGAATTAGTGGGGGAGCTGGAAATCAGAATCATATGGGACACACACAGGTGAAAGGGCGGCCAAACAGGCTCGTTCAAATGAGCCGGATACAATGCTCAATCCTCGTCTCGTGACGCGGGTCGACCCGCCGCCTGAGCCTGCTGCCGCTGTGCGTGCGTGCCCCTGTTTTAGTAGCAGCTGCTGCTGGCAGTCTGTGGCCTCGATACGCATTACAAGGTGAATTGTGGGCCGCAGACAGAGTGACACTCGAGCAGCAGGCACGCAGGCAGGTGGGTGGGTAGGAAGAAGACAGCTCACAGGGACTTCAGGCTGGTGAGAGCCATCCAGTCGGCTGGAAATGGCGAGGAGCGGGCGGGGGTGAGGCCATCGGGTGCTGTCACATCCCTGCAGAGAGGAGAGAGGGTAAGGCGGGTGGTGAGGTGAGGAGAGAACATAGTGGGTGGTGTGCCGAGAGCATGGTGGGTGGTGTGCCGAGAGCATGGTGGGTGGTGTGCCGAGAGCATGGTGGGTGGGTGGTGCAGAGCTTTAGTGCAACGAGGGGTGGACAGCGTGAGAGCACTGCTAGAGCCTACCTAGAGCAACGTGAGAGTCACAACTGCGAGACGATGCTGGCGAAAAGAAAAGAAGAAGCGGGGGGAAAGAGCAGGGTTGGTGGTTGTAATTACAGGAACTGCAGGTGGGGGAGTCGTCCGATCCACGATGGCACGCTGGTGAACTTGAGATAGCTCAGGTCACTGCTTGATGGGGGGGGGTGGAAAAGGGCGCGGTAGGTAACGTTGCTTGCACGCACAAGCAATATGGGCTACTTGACCTAACCTAACGCACAAGCAATATGGGCTACTTGACCTAACCTAACGCACACGCAATATGGCCTACTTGACCTAACCTAACGCACAAGCAATATGGGCTACTTGACCTAACCTAACGCACAAGCAATATGGGCTACTTGACCTAACCTAACGCACAAGCAATATGGGCTACTTGACCTAACCTAACGCACAAGCAATATGGGCTACTTGACCTAACCTAACGCACAAGCAATATGGGCTACTTGACCTAACCTAACGCACAAGCAATATGGGCTACTTGACCTAACCTAACGCACAAGCAATATGGGCTACTTGACCTAACCTAACGCACAAGCAATATGGGCTACTTGACCTAACCTAACGCACAAGCAATATGGGCTACTTGACCTAACCTAACGCACAAGCAATATGGGCTACTTGACCTAACCTAACGCACAAGCAATATGGGCTACTTGACCTAACCTAACGCACAAGCAATATGGGCTACTTGACCTAACCTAACGCACAAGCAATATGGGCTACTTGACCTAACCTAACGCACAAGCAATATGGGCTACTTGACCTAACCTAACGCACAAGCAATATGGGCTACTTGACCTAACCTAATCACTGGGTAGAGATTGCATTATGATCCAATGCGTTCCACCCTACTTGGTGCGAGGCATGCAGCAAGCGCGGAGAGGGCGAGGCACAGAGGGAAGCAGAGATGGCCCCAGCAAGCCGCGCTGCGCTGCGCACTGTTCAGTCCACAACTCGTGGGCGAATGGTTGTCTCTATCTCGTATGTACCCCTTACTGGCCTGTACGTACAGGTGGGCGAGTCTGGTGAGGGCGGAGAGAGAGTCAGGGAGCTCCCCTGCAGTGAGGTTGTTGAACGCGAGGCAGCTGGTGGGTGGGGGAAGAGAGGAGAGGAAAGAGAGGAGATACCAGAGAGCGGAGAGGAGAACAGGGGAGAGGAGAGGTAGTAAAGGAGGAGAGGGGAGTAAAGGAGAAGAGAGGAGAAGAAAGGGAAGGAGATGAGAGGAGAGTTAAGAGAGAGAAAAAAAAGCTTGTGGAGGAAACGGGAAGACAGGAGAACCATAGTGAAAGCAACCGCTGAGTAGCAAGGCGAATTGGAGGGAATAGTGCGGCGACAGAGCACACACTACACTGAGGAGCGGCCAAGGAACAAGCGAAAGGAGTGAGCGCAAACGGGCGGAGTGAGGGGCACACCAGTGCACGTGGCTCTCAACCTGGCTGCCTAGTCAAGGCGATAGACAACCCACTCTCTAACATGAATGCACACCTCCTCTCACGCCTTTCAAACACCACCCCTGTTGCTGACACATGTACGCTCTAGAGGGAGAGAGGGGATTGCCGTGAGAGAAGGCCGTGACTCACAGGTATGAGAGGGCGGTGGCATTGCCGAGGGCGGCTGGGATCTCCCCACTCAGACTAGTGCCCTGGAGATCACTGCCGTGTGTGGTGAGGACAGAAGGGTGGTTGAGTGCGTAGGCGTGAGACTAAGTGTATGTGAAGACAATAAAAGCGATTCAGCGCCGGCATGTGTGGGAGGAGTGAACAGCCATGCACTCTTGAAAGTAATCAAAAGGGGATCGGGGAGCTGGTGGGTGGGGGAAGAGAGGAGGAGGAAAGAGAGGAGAGACCAGAGAGCGGAGAGGAGAACAGGGGAGAGGGGAGGGGAGTAAAGGAGACAAGAGGAGAAGAAAGGGAAGGAGATGAGAAGAGAATTAAGAGAGAAAAGGAAAAGTGAGTGGAGGAAACGTGAAGACAGGAGAACCGTAGTGAAAGCGACCACTGAGTAGCAAGGCGAATTGGAGGGAATAGTGCGGCGACAGAGCACACACTACACTGAGGAGCGGCCAAGGAACAAGCGTAAGGAGTGAGCGCAACGGGCGGGAGGGAGGGGCACACCAGTGCACGTGGCTCTCAACCACTCTCTAAAATGAATGCACACTCTCAAACGTTGCCCAGTCCAGGCGATATACAACCCACTCTCTAAAATGAATGCATACCTCCTGTCACGCCTTTCACACACCACCCCTGTTGCTGACACATGTACGCTCTAGAGGGAGAGAGGGGATTGCCGTGAGGGAAGGCCGTGACTCACAGGTATGAGAGGGCGGTGGCATTGCCGAGGGCGGCTGGGATCTCCCCACTCAGACTAGTGCCCTGGAGATTACTGCCGTGTGTGGTGAGGACAGAAGGGTGGTTGAGTGCGTAGGCGTGAGACTAAGTGTATGTAAAGACAATAAAAGCGATTCAGCGCCGGCATGCGTGGGAGGGAGGAATGAACAGCCGTGCACTCTTGACAGTAATCATATCAAAGGGGGATCGGGGAAAGGGGGCATACAGGTATTGCAAGGCGGGCAGGTAGGCAAGAAACTCCATGGTGCCGTTCAAAGGGTTGGAGGAGAGATTACTGCAGGGCAGTGGGGTGAGGACGGTGCAGAGGGGCGATGGGAGATGAGGAGGAGGTTTATCAGCATGAGAACCATCGGCCACATGATGTGGGAGCGAGAGGAAGGGAGCACGAGGTCCTGAGGTTGGAAGTTCTTGACAACGAAAGAGTATATACATATATATATACACACACACACGCACACACACACACACACACACACACACACACACACACACACACACACACACACACACACACACACACACACACACACACACACACACACACATTTGTATATAATTAAATCAAATACTTGAAACAGGAGCAAGAGGATGGAACATGCGAGGTGAGAATCTAGTATGGCACAGCATGGGCGCAGCTCACAGTTCCTGGAGAGCGGTGAGGTTGCGGAATGCGTCCGTGGGAATGGGGCCTGAGAGGTTCTGGCTGGCTAGCTTCCTGGCGAGGTGGGTTGCAGGGAAGAAAGAAGAGGAGACAGCTGAGGGGGCGATCGTAGGGGGGTGGATGGTCCGATAAAGGTGAGTGAGCGTGAGCCAATGGAAAAAAGAGCGAAGGGTGCGTTTCGAACATATGGAAAGGTTGGGTGGAGGAGGGCGGGGAGAATGGGGAAGGGAGCTGTTACGCGAGAACGGCGAGCGGAAGGAGGGACTGACAGGACTTGGAGGGCGGTGAAGGCAGCGATGTCAGCGGGCAGGCGTCCAGGCGGGGTGAGGGTGTGTGCAGAGATAAGATCTTGCAGCTCTCTGCAGCACAGAGAACCAGAGATCGGGTAGCAGAGCGCGCAGCACAGCGGCGTGCAGCATGGGATGACGAAGAAGGAGAATGACTTGAGTTATGTTGCTGCACACATGCACACACGTGCACACGCATGCACACACGTGCACACACATGCACACACGTGCACACGCATGCACACACAGTCAGAGTCTGTTAGACCCAGCAGCAGCATATACAGCCCTGAAGCCAGCGTGTGTCTCACATGGTGGTGACCATGCCTGTGTCGTCGCACGTGACGCCGCCCGTCGCTGTCCACTGGGAGCACAGCTCCGCCGTCGCATTCCACCCCGTCAGCGCCACCAGCGCCGCCACTGCCAGTTCCGCCGACGGGAGAGAGGGGGAAGGGGAGGGTGAGGGGGAGGCGGAGGGGGAGGCGGAGGGGGAAGGGAAGGGGAGAGGCCAGAGAGAGGGGGACGGAGAGAGTAAGGGAGGAGAAGAACCCTTTGGAGTTGCGATAACGCCGGCATGACTGGGAGGCGAAACAATGGCACATGCCAGACCGGTATACTTTTTGGTTATAAACCATGACCGTGGGTGACGTTTATCGCGTACGAAGGCGACTCACGTTGCGAGGGTGCGAGCTTCACATCGCCCGGCGGGCTCGCCGCGGGTGGCCGCGCAACTCCGTCGCTCAGGCGACGAGCGACGGACCGGGACGGACGACGAAGGTCTGCGACGAACGATGTGGCATCGGGCGAGTCGCGCGACCGGCGCTTGGCCACCACCTTGCTGCTATGAGCGCCATTCAGGGCCGTGGCGGTGGCGGTGGTGGTCGCGGCGGGGGAGAGGAGCGCGGTGAGTAGCAGCACGAAGGCGAGGAACGCCATGATGATGATGACGTGGCGAGGGATGATGCGCGGCGCGGCGTTGATCTTCAAGATACTCTGAAACGAGCGTGGTTGCTGGTGGAAACACACGACTGGCGGAAGATGATGCTCGAGCGTGAAGCGTGCGAAGCTACTGGTAGCTGAGAGTACTGAAGAGTAGCAGGTATGAAGTTGTGTCCAACAATGACTCGGTTAAATGACTGGAGGGCTTGGGTCACTGAGCGCCAGCAACTCCTGTCCTGAGCACTGTCCCGAACCGACTGAGTCCGACGGCCCTCCTGAATTTTGGGACACATCCCTGAGCCGACTGGCGAGCCGGCAACCCGGCAAACCGCAGGTCCCATAATTGCGTATGACTGCTCCGTTATCCGCGCATTTTCGTGAGACTAACGAAAGTTCTGGCTTCCAGGAGGTCCGACAATTATTGTGGTCAACAGATTTTTTTCCCTCTGCCAGTTTACTTCCAGACTGTCCCACTCCCACCTAAGCTCTGACTATCCAGACCACTGTTCATGCGCTTTGCTGATAGTCCAATAGCTTGAAAGCTCTTATGAGATAAGTGTCGGAGGCACTTATCTGCCTCTGCCTCAAGATTATTGGGAAAAAGAAGTTACCCACAATTGCCTAAACAAAACCACCTGTTATTTGGGCGTAATTGCGCAACGCGACCGATTTCGAGCCTGGCTCAATTCCGTCGACCATCCTCGCCTGGTTTCGGATCTAGAAATTCTGGCTCAATTCCGTCTACCTACACATTCATCTTGCGAAATAACTACTTTATACACTGGAAACAAGCAACAAAAGACTCCAATTGGGAAACAAAACCGTTATGGGCTGGCAAAGGAGGCACCAACTCTAAAAACCATGAAGAAATGTGCTTCATGGTGCCTCCCCTCCCGAAAAGCATCCTTTCTTTATGGTTTGAGGATTAAAAACGTATACCCTTTTGAAAAAACGCACGCAAACAAATAAGGCATCAACCTTAAATATCTTGTCTCATTATGTTTTGGGTTGATGTCACCCATGCTGCATGCCTTTTCTTAAACGGTATTTGTTCTATCGGACAGATTCGCATATATGAAAGCGTCAGGCAAAATGGCAATTGGAGCGCAACCCGAAATTGTAATACTAAAATCGGCGACCAAGTCTCGCGCATCTACACGCATGACTAAATCACAAAAACACGTAGGAAAATCCATTTGAGGCGGGTTCGGTCGCCCTACCTGCGCTGCGAAGTTGGCCAAAGGAATCGAGGCATGCGTGCGAATTGTCGCGTTTTGCCGGCATCTCTGAAACGTTTCCTTGAGTTCGAAGAAGAGAGCGTGTCTGATGCCACCAAGGACCAAGTCCGATGATGACGATTGTAACAAACATTGAGTCAATGGAGTTTTTTCCACTTCTTACGAACTAATCGCGTAACTCACAACATTTGTTAATCTACTCTAAAGCATTTTCCCCAGCTTTCATTTGTACAAGTGTCAGCAGCTACATGATTCTGCATGACACTGTCTATAGCCTGGTGAAGCCACTTCAGATGTCGCCATGCAAACTCTCCTGTGTTTCCGTACTCCCTGTAAGATCTAATGCTTCGCTAATTGTTGGAGACATGTTTTGAAGAGCAGGTGTAAACACCATCATTGATTGAAAACCAAAACTACGCTGCTCTTCTGGCGCTATTTTCCAATCTGAGACGTTTCCATCATGAGCTCTTGAAGTATTTGTCGTCGAAGCTCCAGAAGTATTGACGTTGAAGGGCCTTGACGTTGAATCTTTAGAATGTTCTGTATCTGCGTTTGATAGTTTGTTGCGTCTCTAGTTTCCATTCTACCCCCATCTTCATCATGTTCTTATCGTTGCTGTGCAGGTACACCGAGTAGTAACGAACGCGAAGATGGTCATCGGCTGCTGTCGAGGCAGAACTCGGTAAGTCACTATATACGAATTGTCATCGACACTCATTGGTGTTATCCCCATACTCACCGATGTTGATACTCGTGGTGCTCCTGCGAAATATGGCGAGCAAAACTTGTTCTTGTATTTGTTAGAATCTAGAGACATGAATGAATCAACTATGAAAGAGTTGGGTACAAGTATGTGACCCTAAAAGGGGCTGTACCCCATATTGGCTACCCCACTACAGCCTACACATATATAACATGCATATACTTTGACACACCCCCATAGGCAAAGTGGGGGAGAACAAGGGGTCACAAAACCAGTCAAGCGAAGCAAAAAAAGCTCAGGGTGGATCACAACGTCACCACACACACTGAGCACAAGCAAAGGGCCACAAGGCCAGTTCACATGCAGAGATATATATGCAACAACAACAGCACAGTGATCTCTTCCTAGCAGAGCAAGCATGCAGGTATATATATAGATCACAGTACAAGCAAAGTCTACAGCAAGTGAGGAAACGTGGGTATAAGGCCTAGCAAAGTACAAAAACGCTGATGATCACCAGACGGAAGTGCCTTGGTGAATATATCAGCAGCGTTGGCCCGAGTGGCCACGTGAGCAAGACAAAGCTGATCACGCTGCTGCAACTCTCGAGTGAGGAAGTAACGCAGAGCGATGTGCTTCTTTCTGTGCTCCAGTCTGTGCTCCTGACACAAGGCAATGGCGGCCTTGTTGTCTACGTACAGCACTGGAGGAGAACGAGGCCGCTCTCCCAGGCCGGTCAGCAGGTTGGTGAGCCAGCGTAGCTCCCATGCAGCCATGGCTGTGGCGTAGATCTCAGCCTCACAACTGGAGCCAAGAACAGAGGACGAGCGTGTAGACCGCCAAGAAACAGAGCCAGAGCCAAGGCTGAAGGTGTAACCCTGTGACGATCGCTGCGTAGCCAGGTCGTCAACCCAAGAAGCGTCCGAGTGCCCAGTGAGGACAACGTCGCCCCGTCCTCCAAGCACGAGCCCCATGCCCGATGTACTGCACAAGTAGCGCAGTACCCTCTTAGCAGCATCCATGTGCACCTTTCACTACCGACCAGGAGCCACGTAGCGAGCCAGAAGGCCAAGAGGGTACGCAAGGTCAGGACGAGTGCAGGTCATCAGGTATATGAGGCAGCCCACTAGCTCTGGGTAAGGACCACTCGGCTCTACGGACTCGTCCAAAGGTGGAGCTGAGAGCGAGTGACCTGTAGCCAGAGGAGTGTGCTGTGGCGAGGACCAGGTGAAGCCGAAGCGCTGAAGGACCTGCTGCACCATGTGTGACTGAGTCAGTGTGATGGTGCGGCGTGCTCTGTCCCGGGTGATCTGCAAGCCAAGGTAACTGCGCAGCTCACCCAGGTCTGTGCACGTGTGTCTCTTCTACAGCTCCGACTTCACCAGGGCGAGAGCCTCAGTGTCAGCAGTGGCAAAGACCAAGTCGTCGACGTACACGAGGATGTAGAACGGCAGCAGCGAAGTGTCGGTGTGCAGAAGCAGCGACGGGTCAGCAGTGGAAGGAGCAAGCCCAAGAGCCGCAAGTGTCGTCCTCAGTGTGTCGTGCCACTCACGCGGCGCCTGGCAGAGACCGTAGACTGGCCGCCGGAGGCTCCACTGGGTATTAGGAGGGAACGACCCAGTGAAGCCAGGTAGGCGGCGCAGCCAGATCTCCTCGTGCAGGCTGCCCTGTAAGAAAGCTGTGCTGAAGTCAAGAGAGTGAAGCTCGTAGTCACGCTGAGCGGCAACGTGCAGCAGCACCCGAAGAGTGGTCATCTTCAGGGTGGGGGAGAAGGTCTGGAAGAAGTCAACTCCCCCTCGCTGGATGAAACCTCGAGCAACGTAGCGAGCCTTGAAGACAGGCGGAGAACCCGGCGGCCGCTTCACCCTGAAAATCCACATGCCATCGACGATGTTTGCCCCAGGAGGGGGAACCTCGTAACGTAAGTGCCTGTGGACTTCCAGGATGCCATCTCTGCGTCCATGGCTGTCTGCCACTGAGAGGAGTACTCACCTGCGATCGCCTCAGCGTAAGAGCGCGGGGTCGGGATGTCTGGAGCATCCGGGTCTCCCTCACGGGCAAGCAGCATGGACACGAGATGAGGCGCAGCGACTGCAAGACACTCAAGGTCCTCGTGCATATCCTCAAGGACATCCGTGCCAAGAGCCCACTCACCCCCGACGGACGGAGGACAGACAGACTCAAACTCAGCAACAAGGCTAGCGGCGTAGTCTAGACGACAGGTAGCAGCAAAGTCAACAAGCTCAGCGACTAAGGCAAACGCAGCACCAGACTCAAACGATGGGTCAGTAACAACTGTGGCTAGCAGACGCGTGACAGTAGGGTGAGCAGCACGAGCACGGTCAGACTCAGGCTCTAGAACATGAGGCAGAGAAGGCGCATGCGGGGACGGCAGGGGAACACGCTGCGGAGCAGAGGAAGGAGGCAGGGCCATAAGGTGTGTGCCGGGGACAGCCGTCGGACGCTCACGAGGAACACGACGACCAATACGACCAGTGCGGATAGTGCGAACAGGCGAGACAGGACGAGACACAGGCTCACGATGCTCAGCAAGACCGCCTGTCAGCTCAGTGTAAGGAGAAGGAGCAGGCAGCGGTGAGCCAGGCTGTAACGGAAGACCAGTGGGCTAAGAACCTGGCGAAGCACGGAGCCAGACGGTGGCAGAGTCGAAGGTGACGGCAGAGCGAAGAACAGTCGCGGCGGCGCAGCGCCACCAGCACCAGTAGCTCCAGCACCTCCTGCAGCTCCAGAACCTCCAGTGTCAGCACCCTTTGTGAGAGTACGACGGCTTGTGCCAGCTATGCTTGCTTGCCTTTACTTTATTATGCTATTTCTAGCATAGGATAATTATATGCAAGCATGAATTGCTTGCTTCCCTAGGCTAGGTGCTTTCCTATATTTTATTATAGTTATAGCACCG